GTTTTTTCTTGATCATATTTGTAAGTATTTGTGTGATTAATATTGGATTTCCTGATTTTCTTACAGTGAATGAGCTGATTTTGAAACATAGGCAACGAATTGAAGAGAAGAAGATTAAATTAGATGTCCAGGTTGGTGGTTAATTTTTGCTGGTTTAACTTGTCATACTATACCAAAATCTACAGTGTACAGACTCTCAGAGCTTGTTGAAATTCAAGGTAGAGCGACCTGTATTATGTATTATAAAATACTTAATTGATTTTCACGAAAAAGACATTTGGCTTTTTAGTATGCAGTTTATTTTTACTGATTTTTGATGAGTTGAATGGTATGAAAAATTGTATTTACCGTATCTCTTTAATAGGCTAATTTAGGCGTCAGGAAAGATTGAAATGTTCGAAATATTATGCCTATTCAATAGATTATACAGTACACAGATTCATCAGTACAGCGAAAATCAATTCCAAATGAAAATAAAATACTAAGCTTAGATCGTTTAAAAAAAAAAATCTAAAAAATATGAATCTAAAATGTTGTTATGGTTTGGTTATAGAGTACGCAAGGTTTAACAGAATTTAATGATTTGCTACAAGACAGTAGTGGATGGGAATTGGAGGATGTTAACCTGATGTTGGAAGTATTGCATAATAAGAAAAGGTTATTAGAAGCGGTAAGTGAATATATGTAATCTGAGACAAGACTGTACTATTGAGATGCAGTGCTTTATAATCTTGATCTCATTGTGCTGTGTTCACTAATTGCGCTGCTACTTGTGTCCTAAAATATAAGTATTATGGTTATTTAATTGAGGAGATTCAAGACTACTGGGTATAAGTTATATTTGTTATGCTTTTATTATTATGAATTAATGCAGTGTTAGAAAATGGAGAAAAAATAGTTGGGGTGGAGAAACGTCCATAATAGATAAATTTTTGAAAATTGTTGATGCTAAAAATGTTGGAAATTACAAGGCATTGGTCAGGATGGAAATGTACAAAAGATACCTAGGTTTATTACCGACTCATTAAATTTGTGAAATTAAAGGATCTATGGATATTGAGTGGTTCGGAGAGTTGTGCTTTTAAAATCGCTTCAAAATAGTGTGGACTGGGAGGGTGATAATTAGCTCTTTAGGGCTGTGCGTTTTTTTAGGCAATATGAAACTACTGGCATACAAAGATTTGATGGGACTCAACTAGTTGTATCAATTTACTGGCATGCCATTGATGCAACACAAAATCTTAAACGGATATTTTACTGTAGTTACGGAATTCATAATTTGGTTAAATTAAATTCACATTTTAGAAACAAAATAAGTTTAAAAACCAAGAAAATCAGTGGCCACAATTTTGTTTGTTCTTTCAGTCACACCTATATGTATATAGTCACATATAAATTCATTTTGTTTTTTCAAATTTCTGGAAAACAAACATTTCTAGCAGTCAAAAAATTAACACAACTTGATTTTGGTTATTTTATTTTGAATCAGTCAGATCCAGTCCTGTTAAAGGGTGCACTCCTTCTGGGTCTTGATTTAGGAGATTGGAGTGATGACTTGCCTTACGAATTAATGTATGAACTATGAAGTTGTTCATGAACCTTGACTGCATCTAGCAGGGCATTTAGTTCCGAAGAAATTTGTGAAATCATCTGTCGTCATCATTTGTCCTACAAAACATTCAGATCGTGAAATCCTGTTATTTTACCTGACAATACCTTGATATCTCCAGTTTTACTCATGATTTTAGTATTTTGATGGGTCAATGACTTCAAATTTTATCCATAATACTAGTACATTCATCAAAGTTCAAAAGGCTCACTGCCTTGCTTTGAAAAATAAATGTTTGGGAAGTTAGAAAGCAGTTTTCTTATTTGTCAGTGTTTCGAACTGTTCTGTATTTGTATGTGCATTTCTGTTTGGAGGGTCAGCACCTGTGCAGTTATGACAGTCCTGATGAGTCATCATGCTATTGTAGAAAACCCTGCATCTTTGCAATGCTTGAAAAAATACTAGGTTATAGTTATAGTAATCCAAGAACACAAAATGAAAGATGACATCTTTCTGACTGACTTTAGGTTTAAAATAAACTTGCCAGTCCTGTTTCTGTTTCAATGAATGAGAATCCTAGTGAATAGTCAGTTTCTTCTATTATAGTTGAATAATGCAACATACTTTTCATTCACAGGATAGCATCGCAGCACAGAATCAAATTTTAAAAGAATTTCTACACCAGTTAAAACTTGTCAAACAAGAACAACTGGATGAGCTAACAAGGCAACTCTTAACAATTGAGAATGATGTGAAACGTGTAGAGGAAATGATAGCTTCACATCAGTCTATTTATTCACATTCCATATTGGTAAGTTTCTTAGGGACAGCGTCAAAAGATCGATGTCGGATAAAAAACTTGTTTGCTTTAGTTTGGGGGTGGGGGTGGGGTTGACCTCAAAAGTTTCCATCCGACAAAAACGATTTTATTTTTAATGAAGTCAAAATAAATCTTGGTGTATTTGTAGTTCGTTTTTTTTCTATCCAATCATAGACAAATATAACAGAAAATGAAAAAACAAACATCCAAGACGAGAAAATGGTTTGGTTCAAGTGTAAATATATGCGTCAAATGAGGTCAATTTCAGGGCATGGACCTAGAGTGTGCGCAGAACCCAGAAATATAGTTTGCGCATGGTGTATTCCCCTTCATTATTACAACCAACTGCTATGCTATACTACTGTCAATTTGTATTTAATGGTGAATGTAGTCTGACGCCATGATCAATATTTATCAATATGATCAATATTTATCAATTAAGTTTCAGTGGGGGGTGGGGGAAAAACTAAAGGAATTAAGTTTTTTATCCTACATTGAACTTTTGATGATGTCCCTTAAGTTCACTACTCTTCTAAAACTTGAAAAAAAGAAATACATATTTAGTAGTAAAATAAACAATTGAATACTAGAATAAACATATCTGAAGACTTTCCCTGAAAATCTTCCATGAAAACAGAAGCTGGTTGTTGTAATTTAAGAGGTGTCCTAACCTTTTCACCACAAGTTTCCTCTTTTCATCATCACAAATTCATAAAATAGTCCCGTTTATAGTCTGCACTTTCCTTCAGACGATTGAGAAATAAAATAGTCGATTTTTTAAGGAAAAACTGAAAATTTACCCAAATTCTGTCTGTTAGCTCCAAAATTAGTGTTCATTTCCAGAAATGTTGAAGACTATAAGAAAAAACGAATGACAAATTTGGGCAAGTAAGTCTTGCGGTGGAGATAGAGATAGTTTTGTGTGTAGATACTTTTTATACATAGAGCTATAAAAAGTCTTTTCAAATTGTATGTTGTACACAAAGAGATGTAAATTGATTTTCACTGGAGTGTTTCAGGTTGAAAAAAATGTCTGTGATCAAATGATTTTGTGCTGCCCAGAATAATTTCAGAGTCGCAGAAAACTGTAATCAGCGACTTAACAAGATATTGTGTGATTATGCAAAATGATCTTAAGGTAGAAGCCCACTCATAAATTAAAAAACCCAGAATTTATTCATTTTGCAATAAAATGTACTCCACTGCAATATAAGGATATTGACCTTAAAAAAGTTGGGGGTCACCAGCCTTTTTTTCGAGAAATTGATGGTTGTATTTTAGTGGAAAGTCTCCATTTTGACACTATTATAACATTTTTACTACAGGTTCCTAAGGCAGTGATATTATGCAATATCTCAAAATCTAGCCTGGTGACATAGGCTGAAAAAATCATATATTGTTAATGATGGAGTACATTTTGTTGTTCTGAATTCTTTAAAAAATCTGGGTTTTAAAAAATGTCAAAAAATGCAATTTTTTTTTAACATTGTGTTCTATGGAATTGTTCTAAAAATAGCAATTTTCAGGAAATATTAGAACACGTTTCTCAAAAAGCACAACTGTAACACACAAAATAATGCTATTTCATTGTACCATGAGACATTAGCTTTATATTTGTACATAATAAACTAATGAACATTGTTATGCGATTTATGACCAATTTTGTCAGAAATTATGACTAGGCTTCTACCTTAATGTTTATAAGCTGGTTATTTGAGTGAATAGAAATGAGGTATTGTAGTGAACTTGAACAATTGAAAATTTATAATGCATTCAAGATCTTTTGAAAAAGAATTGATGTTATAATAACACTGATCTACCGGTACATTCAAACTCATCTTTTGACTTGACCAAAGTGGACAGCTGCCATTTTCTATTTATGGGTCACTTTTAATATGCGATACTTTTGTATTACAGGACTCCAAGAGTCAAATAAACAGCACCGATGCAGTAGTGCCATCAACTAGGTAAGACATTGGAGAAATAGTCAATCTCCTGGTTCATATGTTCCGTCTCTAAATAAGCAATGGACAATGAGTAGGATGTTTAGCAAAAAAATGCATGATTTTGATTTAAATAAAAAAATGGTACTGTGTACACTAACTAAAAATATTATGGGACAGAAAAATTAATTAAATAAAATTTCAACCTTTTTAACCTTAAATGATCGTTCCTCTCTTTACATTCAAGAAAAAATTACTAGAAAATTGTAAAATAAACAAAAAAAAAAAAGAATCTATAAAGTGGGAAGAAATGTGGAGTAACATATTGCAGAGAAAAACTTCAAAAAAAAACCTATTCCAACTGCCATGTATTAAGTTTACCACATTCTGTAGTTGAATACCCAGAATGCATTATTTCCCTATGTAACACAAGCACACCATTAATAGGGCAATTGTCTGCCAGCCTCTGAATGAGATTTAGCCAAGAGGTTACAAGTCTAACAAGCTGAGTGTTCAGACAGACACAACTTAACACATGCTGCTGATGGTGAGAGTCCAAGGAGTGACCCAAAAACCAGTAATTGCATTTTCGGCTTGGCTCAGAGTGTTCGTCTGAACGCAGTAAATGCCATTATTTGGATTCAAAGCTGTACATAGAGCTAATATTACCATTATTTTAAAGACTAAATCATTTTTGTTTGCAGTCATGAACCAAAATCTCAAGCTTTAGAGAAACCAGTTGTTGTGAAGGACTCTGCACAGCAAGCATTCAATAGCAGCAAAAGCGTATGTATACAATTTAGTCAAATTTATAATTAACTTTTTCTTTTGAATATTTGTAAAAACAACTGTAATAGATTCTCAGCCCTGATGTATGACAATGCTTTGACTATTTGACTCAAATGGTAGAGATTCATTCACTTATGGATGTGGCTTGGGG